GATTTAACAAAATAAAAGTGTGGTATGTATTTACCAGGGTAATTGAAGATTGAATACATGGTCTAGTTGCTTACATAGGTCGGGTTTCTCCCGACGTATGTAGGATGCTTCCATGTAACGTAAGGTTCGGTTTGCTCGTGCTCGAACAAGAACGCGGAAAGATGTGTTAGCGTCAACCGAATGACCACTGTCTAGTAAGTGTTTTGTAATAGATGAGTGTGGTAATTTGTTCTCCTGTTTTAAAAGCCAAATAGGCAAATGTTCAACAGCTCTGGTTGCCTACTTGGCTTTTAAAACAGGAGAACAAATTACCACGCTCATTTATTACAAAACACTTACTAGACAGTGGTCATTTGGTTGACACTAACACATATTTCCGCGTTCTTGTTCGAGCACGAACAAACCGGACCTTACGTTACGTAAAGGATCCGTTCCCTACCCTCTATTGATGAAACATGTTACTTCAACCGGTTTAATCACCAACGTATTTAGCGTGCTCTGGAAATGATTTGGGTAAAGTCCTATTCTTGAAAACTCAAGTAAGAGCACAGCGTGCAATTTTTCTACTTCAGCCTTTATACACAACTTGATGAGCTGTACACTTTCTGCGGCTGATGGACATTGGAACTTTACGTTTTCTTCAGGGCCTTAATGGACAGCTACTTTTTATGGAGTTTAAACAGGCAGCCGTTCAGTTTTGAAGATTATCCAAATTTTTGATGTTAGCAACATATGACCGCTCGATGAAAAGTACGCTGCCCTGATTTAAGAAAGACCTTCGATGGTGTTTCCCACCACCGTTTCCAGCAAAAACTGATGGTAAAAGACATCAAAAGCAAACATTGCAGTCTAATCAGACATTTACGTGTCGATCGATCGCAGGTCATCTGTGTATGGCGAACACAATCAAAGAGTACAGCCCAATAAATTTAAGTGCTTGGACCAACCATATTTCTCTGGTTTCTGGACTTAGGTCCAACTTTCACAAATAAACTAGCATTATCATCTCATACACTGTATTAATTCTTAGTCCCTAATAGCAATTCGTGGACCTGTGGACCTGTCAGCTCCTACACACACAATATCTCACATTTCATTGGCTAAAATGTCAGCGGAATTATAGGTCAATACGCCTGAATCCGAATGCGTGCAATCTGATTGGTTACGTCAACTGCTTTCTGTGGCGGCAAGTTTGGACGGCATTCTGTCGTGTCTCACGTGAACTGCTAAACGCGTAAGTGGGCTCTGAATGTGG